CCCCGCTCGCCGGCATCAACCCCGGCAGCGCAACAAAAAGACACATTGACTTGCCGGGAGAAAGGGGCCCATAGATCCCGCTGCTCCCGGGGGAGGGACCGCGGGCCCCGGAGCATCCCGGCCCCGCTTCCCTGTGCCGGGTCCGTGACGAGGTCGGCTGGATGCCACCGGCCCCGGGGACTCGGGCAAAAGGGGTCACCGCGCCGGGAGGGGGGCGGTGCAGGGGGTGGGATGTTGTGTCCCTGCTGCCAAGGGGTGTTTTTTGGGATCGGCATCCCCACGGCAGGGGAAGAGGGGGGATTGTCCCTGTCTGCTCTGCGCAGGTGAGACCCCACCCGCGGAGCTGCCCCCAGAGCTGGAGTCCAACAGCAGGAGGATTTGGAGCTGCTGGAGCAGTACCAGAGGAGGCCATGGAGATGCTCCAGAGCTGGAGCCAGGCTGGGAGAGCTGGGGGGGTTCACCTGGAGAAGAGAAGGCTCAAGAGAGACCTGAGAGCCCCTTGCAGGGCCTAAAGGGGCTCCAGGAGAGCTGGAGAGGGACTGGGGACAAGGGATGGAGGGACAGGACACAGGGAATGGCTTCCCACTGCCAGAGGGCGGGGTTAGATGGGATATTGGGAAGGAACTGTGGACTCAGTGAACACGATGCCCACCCAAAACACCCCCTCTCCCCTCAGGCTGCCCCCGCTGTGGCGTGCGGGGAACGCTCCCGCCGCACCTCCGCAGGAAACGGGATGGGAAAAGCTCCTCTTGGACTCAGCACCGCTTTTGTTTCCATTATAAACTTCCCTTTTCACGAGGAAGGAGGCTCTGAGGCCGAGGAAGGAGGCTCTGAGACCCGCTCAGCCCCAACCGGGGGGGACCCTGCCCGGGTCAGGGGAGCAGAGCCCGCTGTGGTGCCACCCATCACCCTCCCACCTCCTCTTCCAGCTGGATCTGCATCCCAGCTTCCCCCTGCACACCCTCTGGAGGCTGCTCTGCTCCTGCAGTGCTCCCCAGCTGGCCTGCTCAGGGTCAGGGAGACCTTTATCAGCCCCGGAGTGCGGCCTAAGGCCGGGATACAGGCGATAAGGCGGTGGGATGAGCGGGATGCCGGGGCCAGGGCCCTCCTGTCCTTCCAGGAGGAGCCAGGAGGGATCAACAGGCTGGGAAAGGCAATGCAGGGGTTCCCCTCAGGGTGTTGATCCCCACCAAGCCAAAATTACCCAAAACCCATGTCTATGGGGAGGCGTCTGGGACTCCTCATGTCCCACCACCGTCCCCATCGTCACCCCAGGGCTGGGGCAGTACAGGATGGGGCTGGAGGGCTTGAGGTTGGGGCTTGGCTTTGGTGGCAAATATTGCAGCTCCTGGCCCCAAAAGAAGGGCAGATGGCCTCCAAGATAAGATATGGAGGAGGTTGCTCTCCCTTTCCTCCTCCACAACTCCCAACAGCCACCCTTCCTCCTTAGCAGGAGCAGGGAAGGGGGTGATGGGGCAGGAAAGGCCCGGGGGGGGGATGAAGATCCTGAGGGGTGGGATGCACGAGGATGTTGCAGGAGGGAAAAAGCAAGCCCAGAAATAGCAAGTGTAGCAGTTGCAGAAGGCGCCGGTTGCCATGGGATCTTCACAACCAAAAATGACGGGGCTCTGGCAGATACAAGAACGGGCCCTTTCATGTGTTTCTATGGGAAGTCAGCGCCTCGCCGCAGCCTCCCGGGCTGGAGCCTTTCCCAGGGCAGGAAGGATTTGGGGACACTGGTTGTGGTGACAGGGAGAGCCCTGGTGAACTCCCTGAAGGGTTTTGCTTGGGTCCAGGAGGCTTTTCGCCGGTGCAGGTGTCGGAGGGTCACTTGGCACTGACTCCACGGGCAGGTTTGGCACTTCCCATCTTCTGCCTTAGGCAAAGGATGGAGATTCCCGGCTCTTCCTTGTGCCCCTTGTTCCCAAGGGCTGTTCCCAAGCTGTCAGTGCCGTGGTGGTGCTGGTGGTGGTGGCAGAAGCCATGACCACCCATCCCTGCTTATGGCACAGCCCAGCCCCACACTCTCCCTGCTGGAATTCTCTCCCTGGAGAGATCTAATTAGTTAATTCCTTTGCTATTTGTGAATCAATATGGAAACCCCTCTGCTTTGTTCCCGGCGCTGTTGGTTGCCCTGGCTGGGCCCCCCCCTTCCACCCAGCTCTAAAATCCTCCACCAGCAGATGATGTGGGGACAGGAATAAATAATTCTCCATGAAGGGCCGGGGGAATGCGCTGGGTGAGAGGGACAGGACGAGGGGCCGGGATGGTCCCTCCTCGTCCTTCTCCAGCCCTGTGGTGTGGGAGCCCAGTTCCCTGCTCTGCCCTGCAGCCTCTCAGCGCTTAACACCCAATAAATTAATAATCAGCCGCAGTTTAAGTAGGTCTGGAAAGTGGAAAACAACCTCCGCAAAGATCTGGCGTCCCCCCCGGCCTCGCGGGCGGGAGCAGCAGAGATTTGTCTGCCTGTCCATCTGCCAGAGGGGCAGACAGACCGTAATCTGTCCGTCTGTCTGCGGCCTGCAAATCGCCCGCCCTTCCCGGGCAGCCAAAGCCCCCCGAGCCTGGGGAGAGCCTGATGGACCAGGAGCATCCTCTGCCCTGCTCCGCTGCCCTGCCCTCGGGGATGGAGGCAGCAGGGGAGGGATGGGACCCACTGCTGGTTCCCCCTGGCTGGTGGGCACTGGTTTGCACTGGGAGGGTTTGGGTTGGTGTCTGGTTCATGTCAGGATTCACCGGTCCTTGTCCTCCACCCTCTGTGTGGTGTCACCACATGTCACAGCCCCACACAGAGGGGGGAAAACGGCCTTTTCCCGGGATAAGAACCGGACTAACCGGCCTTGGCCTGCCCAGGGACACCCACGGGGCACGGGGGTTTCGGCACCGGGCACCGCCCGGGATCCAGCGGAGCCGCCGCCGGCAGCGCGGGAAGGACAGACATCTGCCCTGGAAGAGGAGGCACAGCTCGGGAATCCACGGGGAATGTGGCTATTTATAAACACAGCCCTTACGCAGCGCTGCAGAAGAGGGTTTTCAAGAAAAGCCGGGATCAGGAGGGACGTGGCGACCGGGGATTCCTCGGAGATGAAAGCCGATGGAAAAACACGCGCCAGGAGGTCCTGGCATGGGGGGTGTGTGTGTGTGGGGCTGTCATTGTCCCCCCACTGCCAGCTCTGCATCTTGACCTGTCCAACCATGCTCGAGTTTGCCCTTTACACATCTGTTTCCCGCTGCTCTGGTGCTGGGATCGGTGCTGGGAGGGGAGCGGGGAAGGGAGGGGTGGAGGAAGGTGAAGGAAGGGTGAAGGAAGCGGGGAGGGACTGAGACAAGTGGCCCCAACCTCGATCCCCAGCCTGCTGGCTCAGGGGTACCCAGCACAGCCAAAATGTGCTGCAGCAGTGGGATGGGATGGGATGGGATGGGATGGGATGGGATGGGATGGGATGGGATGGGATGGGATGGGATGGGATGGGATGGGACAGCAGCGTGAGGCCTCTTTGCACTCGTGCAGAGAAGAACCAGGGCCAAATGACCCTCAGCAGGGAGACTGCAAACTGCTCCCAGAAGGTGGGGAGGGAAGTGTGGAGATGGGATGGACGCTGCCCAGTGCCAGACGGATGCTGGGACAGTGGGAAGGGTTCCCCAGCCAGGCTTTGCTCCCCAGCAGGAAAGGGTTGGGGACACCAGCCTGGAGCTCACGCTCAGGGACAAGTGCTGGGAGACAGATCCCGTTCACTGACTGATTCCACAAGCTCATTTGGACAGTTTGTCTTCCCAAAGCCCTGAAACCCGTGTGTTTTCCAACAGGGAACATCCTCCTTGGCTCCTGTGCTGCTCTGGGACGCCCCGGCCCTCGCCACCAGCCGGAGCACCCGGCAGCCATCCAAGGGCTTTATCAACTGGCACCCAAAAGTCAATAAGGAAGATGCCGCCTGTTTTAATTAACAGCAATTTCGCTCTGACAGGGGGTGAGATGATGCTGATGTGCCGGGGGGAGGGAGGCCAGAGACAAAACATGACCTTGTTGGCGCAGCGCACACAGCGGGACATTGTTTTCCCCCTCGGAGACTGGCCTTGATCCTGCCTGGGCCCCGGGGCACAGCTGGGTGCTGGGGGACAGGGGCTCTGCTGGGAGCAGGGTGCAGAGTGCCTGGAAGGTTCGCAAGTCCGTGGGGCTCAGGATGTGGCACCCAGGGGGGTGAGCAGGGAGTGTCAGGATTTTGGGAGCCCCCAGTGAGGTCCTGCTGTGCCTGGGTGCCATGGAAGCGAATCCCCCACTGGCACTGCTGGACCCCTGGCAGCACAGGGACGCTGCAGGGCCCTTGGCAGAATCAGCATCCACTCGAGTTTAGTCCCGTTTTTCTTTTCTCCTGAGCTCTCCTATTCCGGGAAAGCAGAGAGGAGGAACACCCAGAGGGGGAAAAACCTCTCTGGGTGTGTGCCAGGGTGCTCGCTGAGGAGCCGGGGTGTGACCCATTGCACAACCTGTCCCCACTGCAGGACCCCTGGGGAACTGCTGGGGCTGGGGTGAGAGGGGGACCCCGGGGGAAGTGGGACCCTGTGGGGAGCAGGAGAGTGACCAGGATTGAGATGACCTGCACCACGATGCTGTCCCGGAGGTGACAGGGAAGGGACAAGTGGCACCATGGGACACTCTCAGGGTGAGTGGGATGGGGGGTACAGGCACCCAGGGGTGCTGGGGCTGCAGGCAGAGGCACCCCAGTGGTGTCAGGGATGGGGTGAGCAGCACTCCAGGGATGATGGGGTTTGGATAAGCACCCCCCATACAGGGAGAGGGCACTGAGCGGGGGGGGGCTCCCCACCACCCCCCCACCACGGCTGCCCCGATCCCCGGGGGTCGCACAGGAGGGTCGGGGGCTCGGCAGCCGCCAGAATCCCCCGCCCTCCCCCGTCCCCCGGCGGGGCGGTGGCTCCACCGCGGTCCCCCCGCCCCCGGGGCGGGCTCGGCACCGTCCCGCCCCCGCCCCGCGCCTTATCAGCGGCGGGCGGGGGGCTCGCCCCACTCCCGCCCAGCGCAGCCGCCGCGGCGGGGCTGGCACCACCCGACGTGCCGCACCATGGGCAGCCAGGGCTCCAAGGCGGCGGGCGGAGACCCCGACACCGCCAAAGCCAACGGGCAGGTGGGTACTGGGGCCCTGCGGCTCGGGATTCTCTGCGCCCCGTCGGGGCGGGCGGGAGCGCGGAACAAAGGCGGCGGCGGGGAGGGGGCGGCGGCGGTCCGGGGGATGGGGAGGGGTTCTTGTGCCCCCAGGGTGTGCGTGTGGGGTTGTTCTGCCGTCGGGAGGGACCCTCCTGCCCGGCGGGCACCGGGCGATGCGGCAGCGCCCGCGCCGCGCCCCGGGCTCCCCGGCACCGGGCGGGTCCCGTCCGCGCCGCGCCCCGCACCGCGAGTGGAGCGCGGGCGCCGCCCGCTGGCAGCGCGATGGACCCCCCGCCTCCCCCCTCCCATCGTGGATATCCCCCCGGTGCGACCCTTCTTCGCCCAGGCTCGGTGCACCCCGTTTTCCTCGGCTGGATCCACCCCCTTGGGTACCCCGGTTTTTTTCCCCCGTTGGGGGCCCCCCTCCGTGGCCGGTGTTTCCCGTTTCCACCGGCTGAAAGCTCCCCCCCATTTTTCCCCGGCTGCCCCCGTTTCCACCGTGTGGAAGCCCCCGTTTTCCTCGGCCGGGCACCCCCCGGTGCCCAGTGCGCCCCTTTTTCCCGGCTGGGAGCCCCCTCTGTGCCCGGTGTTTCCCGTTTCCACCGGCTGAAAGCCCCCCTTTTTCCCGGCTGGATCCCCCCCGCCGGTGCCCGGTGCACCCCTTTTTCCCGGCTGGGTGCCCCCCAGTGCCCAGTGAGCCCCATTTTTCCCCCATACGGGTGCCCCCCATCCCCAATACACCCCCTTTCCCCGGATGGGAGCCTCCTCCATGCCTAGCGCTCCCGTTTCCACTGGCAGCAACCCCCATATTTTTCCCATCTGGATTCCCCCTCCCCACTTTTTGGGTTGGGGGTGTCTGGGGTCGCGGTTTGAGGTCGGGGTTTGGGGTCTAACGCGGAGCTGCTTTTCCCCCCCCCTCCTGCAGGAGAACGGCCACGTGATCTACAACGGGGACATGACGCCCAAGGTGGGGGTCGAGGTGTCCCCCCAGAACGGGAACGGCTCGGCTGAACCCCCCAAGGAGGAGAGCGAGGGCGAGCCGGGCGGGGGGGACGCCATCGAGCCCGCCCCCCCCGCCGACGGCGGGGACCCCAAGCCCGAAGAAGGGGCCGCGGCCCCCAAGGACGCCCCCAAGAAGAAGAAGAAGTTCTCGTTCAAGAAATCCTTCAAGCTGAGCGGGATCTCGTTTCGGAAGAACAAGAAGGAGGCCGGGGACTCCTCTGGCTCCTCTCCCACGGAGGAGCAGGGCAAGGGCGAGGAGAGCCCCGCGGGGGGGGTGCAGCCCTCGGCTCCCCCCGAGGAAGGGCCGGCCGAGGAGCAGGGGGGCCCCGGGGAGGGCAGCGAGGGAGCTGAGCCCAAGGGGCAGGAGGGGGAAGCCGGCGGGAGCAAGGAGAAGGAGGAGGAGGAGGAGAAGGAGAAGCAGCAGGCGGGGGAGAGCCAAGGAGGAGACACAGCCAAACCCGAGGAGCCCTCGAAAGCCGCGGGGGCCGAGCCCACAACAAGCCCCGCGCCGGCGGTGGAGCAGAAGGAAGAGTAGATTCCACTTGGCATCGTCCTCACTGGAGACTCTCACGCCGTCCTCTCCATCCTGGAACACCACGGACTCGCCCACACAATCCCCCCTCCACCCCAGGCCCACCTAGAACTGACACCACTCCCCAGACCCCACACGCCCCTCGAGGTATTTCTTCCTTCCCCCTCTCCTCCCTTTTTTTCCCCCCTGGTAGAAAAGCTGGTTTGGATTCCCACACCACTGCCACCACTTGGAGTAGTTTTACCTGAGTCCTTTAAAAAAAAAAAAAAAACAAAAACAAAAACTGGGGGAGGAAGATTATTATCCTGGACATCACTGGAGTTTTACAGTTTGTAAGAAAACAGATCCCACGTTCCTGCTCTGGATCTCTGCGGCCTCCAGACTGTCCCTTCTCCTCCCAGCAGCTTTCCAAGCCCACTGACTGTTCAATGGATTCTTTTTTTTTTTTTCTTTTTTTTTCTTTTTTTTTTTGTTGTTTTGTTCTTTATTTCTCGGTTTACATTCCTGGTTCTGACTTCATTTAAAGTATTTTGTGCTTTTTATAGAAATCGATGGTTTAAAAGCTAATCTGGTTAGTTTTTTATAATGTCTTATATTGGCTTAAAACCATAAAAGCTTGTAAGTCCGCTGTGTTTAATTCTGCTTCTAAGGGATAACTTTTAGGGTGTGGGGTGGAGAGAGGGGGCCCTGCCAGCTGTATAATGTGAAGCAAAACGTTTGTTTTCTCTGTAAATAATTTTTTTAATGGCCAAACCACTTGATTTGCAATTTTCTAACTTGTAAAAAAAAAAAAAAAAAAAAAAAAGCAGGAAAAAAAAAAAAAAGGAAGAAAGAAAGAAACCAAACCACGAAACAAAAAGCTGTATGGGGCTTTCTTGTAACATTTGAAAGGAATAAATGGTGACCCCTTTATGGGAGAGCTCGAGTCCTTCTTGTCCTGGATGCCAGGGAAGGGCCAAGGGAAGATGGCAGTTGCTTATTTAGTTCAACAGCTGCTGCATTTAATCACTGCTCACACTTAATTGACTTGCAGCAGATGTAGAGCCACAGCCACAAAGGACTTTCCCACACCAGCCCTGTCCCTACCCCCGGCTTGCTGCTCAACTGGCTGCTGGGGACCTGTTTTTGTAGAGATCCAACCCGATTTTAACTGGTGGTGGTGAGGAGGGGGTGGTGAAAAATCCGGTGTTTTTCTCACAATGAGGGTTACTGGGTGAAATTCCCATTTTTTTAAGCGTGGTTTCTCCGCTTTAAATTAATTTTTTTTTTTTGGTGGCTTTTTAGAGTAGGATTAGCTCCTCTCCGCTGAAAAGAGCACAAAAGGCGTGCGCTGGGAGCGAAGATTTCCTTAACAAAGGGAACTCCAAGGGCACAATGGTGCCTCTATCCCTTCTCCTGTCACCTGCACAGGGGGTTGAGGTGGCTTTTCCCAAGGAAAGGTGGCTTTTTTTCCCCCCCTCAAAGGAGGAAGGAGCACAGCCCCCTGGGGGGAGCTGCTCCCACCAGCCCCTCCATTCCATGGCCTGCTCCCAATTCCCATCCCAGCTCCCAATTCCCACCTGCTCCTGCTGTTTTGGCTGGCAAAGACGACGGAGAAGAGCAGAAAACCCATTGTTTGCCCAACAGGCACCACCCTGGGAAGGGGTAAGGACCATCCGGGCTCCTCCCGAGCCTCGAGGTAGGTGGAAATTTTGCCCCAAAACTCCTTGGTTTTTTTTTTTATGCAGCACATCCCTCTGGGAAGCAAAACCAAGGGACCTGCTTCCCGAGGGAGCAGGGGATTCATCCCCAGTCACAACAGTGGGGGAAATAAATGGGGTGTTTCGTCCTCTTTTGGAACCAGACCTGTCCTTTCCGAGCCTGCCCAGGGTCTGCCATCCCGGTGCATCCGCCCCAGCTGCAGCGTGGCAGCCATTTTAGGAATCCCTGGAAAACAGAGGGACTGCGGATGCTCCCGGGATCGGAGAACGCCTTTTGTTCCAGGATGGGGAGGATTTGCTGGTGTGCTCTGGTGGAAGGGATAACAGGGCTCCCCCTACCCCGGGGGTGTGTGTGTGTGTGTGTGTTTGAGAAGTCAACTGTGCCCACACAAAGCTGCTTTTTTAGCTGGAAAAAACCCAAACCCAGCAGATTTGGCTCCCGTGGCCATTTCAGGTGTGATCAGCTGCACAATTAACCTGCCCCTAATTAAATTAGGAGAAATTTTGTTCGCTCCGAGGCCGGGGTAAAGCCACTTGAGCTCGTCCAAGTGGTGAATTAAGCTCATCCAAATGGTGAATTGAGTTCAGCCCTTCCCCATCATTTATTACTCTATTTCCAGGCGCGCTTTGAGCATCGCAAAGCGCTGCAAGTCCAACCCCGAACCCCAATTAGCAGCAGGGATGCTGCTGGAGGAGAAACCAGCTGGAATTTGGGACAGAAAAACTCACCCCAGTGACCCTCAGTTGAAGCTGTGAGCAAATAAACCCCCCAAAATTGTGGTATTTTGAGTCGCCTTTCCCATAGAAAAATCCCAATTATTTTGTAAAATCCAAGGGAAAATAAAAACCCCAAACATTTATCGGACATTTACAAAAGAAACTGATTTTTCAATGAGTAGATTCTAAACCAAAACGTTTTGGTGGACGGGATTAAACACTCAGCTCTCTTCCCAAATATTGTTACGTGTGGAATTTTTTGTTGGGATCTCCATCACATCCAGCAGTGGCTCTGAGAATGAATTGATTCTCAGCCCCCTCCCTGGAAGTGTCCCCTCTGAGCAGAAAGCAGGCCAGACTCACACCAACCATAGAAATGTACCAGTTTTATTAAAAAGATTCTCAAAATTCAAAATAAACGCATCTTTAAAAAACCACAATATATTTCCCCTCCCCTGCCCTCCCTCCCCCAGACACAAAGTTTACACTGATCTCTCTCTCTCTCCACACACAAACACTGAAGAGCAGGAGTGACACGGCACCCAGATCCAAAGAGACTAAAAAAAAAATGTCACGGTGGAAAAAAAAAAAAGGGGGGGAGGATGGGGGGGTGGGAAAAAAAAAAAAAGAAGCATTTTTAAAAAAATAAACCCTTTGAAAAATAACCTGTGTTAAGTTTTAGCAGCATTATTAGAGTTGAAACCCTTGGGGAGGTCCCAGATTCCCCCTGAGGGCCGGAGGAATCCCCCTGAGGAAGGAGAGCAGTGAGTCAGAAGTGCCTGAAAACCCAACTTGTCCAGGGAGTTTTTCCACCCAAAAAGCTCAGCTAATGATCAGCTGTACAAAAGGAGATGCTGAAGAAAGGGCAGAGCTGGTCACAAAAGACCTTCGGGGGGTGAGATAATGTGTGGGAGGAGGAAAAGAAGGAGCTGTAAGAGCGTTCAGAGCCCCATCTGCTGTTCCCTCAGGAAGGCAACAGACAAAAAAAGAAAAGAAAAGAAAAAAAAAAGGTTGTTCGTATTTACTGGCCTCGGGAGGAAAATTCAATTTGAAAACGTTTGTAACTTCAGGTCAAAAAAAAAAAAATAAAAATGATAGTATTTCAGTTGGTGACAACACATGGAGTGAAGTTCTCAGCCAGGCTGGGGGCTGGGCTTGAGAGGGATTGGGGATTTCTGCAGTGGTTCCAGCCCAGGACACGGATCAGTGCTGGGAGCTGAGGGCAGAAAAGCAGGAAAAGCAAAGCCAAAGGGGTAGTAACTCACTTCTCCCCCTCCACAAAGAGGGGCAGAGGTATAGAAAAAAGCAGGTATAAAAGCTCCATCCCTTCCTCGAGGTGCTTAATTGCTGCCACACTCCCTGGCTCTGCCAGATCTCGGAAAACTGAGGCACCACACATGGGTGATTTTCCAGATCTGGGCTCTGGGGCTGATTCACTAAAAATAAAAATAAGAAAAAAAAAATCCCACACTTTTCAGGTTGTTTTTAAGCTGCTTCATCTCTTTCCACAAGTTTCTGCTGCGGGGAGGAACCAACTCTATTCAAGAACTGCACTATTTGACCCTGAGAAGTGGCACCAGCTCGCAGTTAACTTGCCACAGTGGAATCAAACTGAAGACCAAAGGAATAGTCTCTCACAGGCTTCGTTTGGGAACTCGGATTCTCCCATAAAACACCACCAAAAAAAAAAAAAAAAAAGAAGAAAACAAACAAACAAACAATAAAAGAATTCATGGCCATCTTTCCACCTAACCTGAAATGCAGACACTACTTCTACTTAAATTATTCTTTTCCAAGGTTATTTCAGAGGAGAGAGTAAAGGAAGTGATTTTTTTTTGTTGTTGTTTTGTTTAGAGACACACGAAGGAGGCAGTGGAAGGCAAAGAGTGAAACTTCCCAGTCACCAAATCTGGGCAGTGCAGGTCTGGCTGCTCCGCAGAATCCTCCCCTCTGCTCCCAGCAAGGAGTGCAGCAAGGAATAATTTACAGTCCTCAAGTCATTTATACAATTATATAGAAATATATACAGAAACATATATAAAATATAAATCCTGTGGAATAGGAGGCAACCCGGGAGCTAAAAACCTACGACAAACTACGCACGGACAGGCCCGTCCAGCTCAGGTGGATTTTGGCTCTTCCTTCGCCCTGGGGAAGCAAGAAGGGAAGGATCTGGTTTAAACAGGCAGCTTGAGCTGTGCTCAAGGCTCTAAAAAGTGCTGCTTATCTGGCCCATCTTCAGCTGAACATTCATAACGTGCTGCTGAACGAAGGTGCAGCGTTTCGATTTTGATGATTTTTAAGCAGCGTTTTTATCTCTGAGCCCCGAGAAGGCGCTCCCAGCGTTTCATCAGGCGGGCTGCTCAACACCTGCCAACTTCTGCCTGTCAAGAACCCGCCACAAAGCCACCCAAGCTGCCACATCAACCCTCCCAGCAGCCCCCAGACTCACCCTTTGGGTTCTGCTTTCTCCTCTTTCGCTTTTTCCTCTTCCTTCTCGTCTAGGAAAAAAAAAAGACACGCACCCAGCAGTGCATTGGGGAAAGCATCAGCCAGGAACACCCACCAGGTGCCAGCTCTGCTGCTCACCTTTTTTCTCCTCCTCCTCCTTCTCCTCCTCTGCCTTCACACGCTTGGCTTTCTTGAAGTTGGCGACGTTTTTGCGCCCTCCTTCCCCTTCGTCCTCAGAGTCAGAGAATTCCTCGTCGCAGGATATCCTCTTGTTGGAATTGCGGACTGAGTGTGAAGGGGACACAGGTTGGGGGAGCAGACTGACAAGTCAGGAGGCTGCAGGCACTAATTCTCTGGGCACATCCACTCACTGGAGTGAGCTGAGGAGCCCCCTAAGTCAGGATTAGGCCACGATAAAAACACTTTATCTCTGTACCTGCTGCACTTTTTAACTCGTCCCTCCTCACTGCTCATGCCTGGGATCCAAGATCACATGGACAACTTGGATTAGGTACAGTGTGATGTCTAGACTTGACAGCATAAGCAGGTTAACCAGCCTCCCACTGAGAAATCTGTCTGCCAGATCCTGAAGGCCAATCTGGCCACAAACCACCATTTTCACCGCGCAAGACACTTCTGGCATCACACCTGACAGGGTTCTGTCCCAGCACCTACGTCACAGGAACTGCCTGAGCTCTCACATTAAAGTCTGGAGCTTCTCCACTACAGAAATCATCTGGCAAAGGAAATCCACCAGCACCTGCAGTGCTCAGCACCAGTGCTTCATCCCAGAAAACCACCCAGGGAGGTGGGAGTGGAGTCAAAGCGAGACTCCAGAACCGGGCAGATCTAAATCCCACATCCTCCTCCTCCTCCTCTTTGGCACCCAGCCAGACACGAGCACGTACTTGAGATGCGTTTCTCGGGGTCATCTTCCTCTTCATCTCCGCTGTCCTCCTGCACAGCAT